TGCATTCTGGGTTCTTTTATTTAAAAATTTTCAAAATAGGAGCTGCAGACTTATGTCAGAGTTGCAGGTTTGAGGTTCTCTGTGGTTCCCCCATGAACTACTTATAAAAATCGTGAGCACATTTTGATTAGTGGCAAAGATTTCTAGGTCTGCAAGATGTTAGCAAGCTTACTGGCAAATAGGTGACAAGCAATAATAATCATTATAGCAAGTTTGCATCTATCTTTTCCTTTCAGAGTTCTAGGTTACATCACGTAAATGTCACAGCAGTCTTGCGGTTATACAAAAGACACCAGTAGAACTATGGTCAGCCAGTGATTCAACTTCTGAGCTGAAACAGGATTTGAACTGGTGGAGTCCTGTGTATTAAAGCACATAGGCTCAAAATAACCCTCCTCTCATATTTGCTGCAACAAAGATGTCCTTTTAGATTAGTGACATTTTGATGTTTATTTCTATGGCAGCCACAGTGATGGAGTCCACTCCACCAAATGCAAGAATTATCATCCTAAATTGGTAGGAGAACACATAGTTTGGGTGGAGATTAAAAACAACAGTGAGGTGATAAAGTGCACAAATGAACAGGCAATGGAACTACCTGAAAGCAAATGATTTCTAGATATTGTTCACTGTTCAAATAGTTTAGCGGTGCTAGGGTGTTCATACTTTCAGTGATCCTGCTTTGTTAGTGGTCGCTGTAACTATACTGTTTTTATATAATTGTCTGTCCTTGCTGCAAGGAACGGCGCTTGAGACCACACCCCCAGAGCACTTTTTGAAACTTGGTCATCTCTCACAGACATCTAGCATCAAGTTTTGGACTCTTGCCTACAGTTTTTCCGCACTATCTCTGTAGCAGTGGTAATTAGTCTGAAGAAGTGGGATTCCTCCCCAAAAGCTTGCAATTTGTTTGATTTAGTCCAATATAGGTACAACCCACTCTTCCTTCAGGGAATCAAGCTCCTGGGCCCTAGCTCTGTAGGCAGTTATTCCATCTCACTGAGTGATCCAGCCCCTAATTCCCTTGACTAAACTTGTTGTGGATTTACCACTCAAGTAGCACTGGGATCAACACTTACACCTTATAGATATAAGTGCATAAGCAGTCAATTAGATTAGGATATCTGATGGGCATTGGATTCTTACTACATGCAGCGCCTACAGTTGAATGTGCATAGGCTTTTCTTGCAGATACTGTGTGAATGTGCAAACACAAGGGCTGAAACTCACATATGTGGCTGTCTTCCTTCTTTTATGCATATCCCATCCATATGGAAGGGAATAGCAGAACCCAGCAGAATAGGGTCTTTGCTATCTGCTTCAACAGATGTTTGTTATGTTATTGACTTGTACATAAGTATTACTTGTGTTTAGCTGTCATGTTCTATTTCACAACCATCTGCATTCTTCGCTGAACCTAGAAGGATTTGCTTGTGAATAGACTTGTATGAGATCGTTATTCATCTTAAAGGGCATTAAATGAGTACTCTAAATAACTAAAGAAGATCAGGAATCTTGGAATTTTAAGGACTATGTATCTCCTTTCAGTTCATCCAGAATCAAGCCCGAGCAGTCTCCAATGTACATGTAAATTCCGTTGTCATAGTTCAGTTAAGAAATGATTGGAAAGATGACAAAATATATTTTTGACGAAGAAAATTTTGATGGCAAGAATATATTTTGCCTTCCTACTGAGGAACAGAAAAAAGTGATTGTGCTAGAAATGTGTTTAGCTTTCAAATTCTACCTATTAAACGTAGCTTGCTCTTGAGTAGAATTCTGAACATTCTTCAAAATCTACTTCCATAAAGAAATGAAAAGATATGGGAATTTTCTAAATTGATTTAGTGTAAAAACACAGCATTGGTTCTTGCTGATCGTAACTGAACCAGTGATTATTGCCACATTTGGGTGATAATTAAACAGTTTTATTCTAATACTTGGGGGGAAAACTGTCAGCTGCCTAGAATATTTTTATTTAGATGGAGAAAACAGTTGCCTTAAAAAGAGGATGGAATTCCCTCATGAGAATCTCAATCAATTTGAAAGAAAGGAAAGTCCCTTTGAAAATAATTTCGAAAGAGGGGAAATTTCAGAAACATTCTCATGGATATGGTTCAGGTTTCTTATGCTTACTTTATTTATGAAGTGGCTGAGGAGTGTACACACCTACTGTTTTTGATTGTACAACTGTCTGTGGGGCAGTTGGCGGCTCCCTTCCCCTTTCCCCAGCCTCATACATTAAAAAAAAAAAACAACCCAGAGAAATATGTTGCAAGACAACTGCTTCCACTGGGCTTTTTCACATCAGGAAGTGTGGGCAGCCAGGGAAGCTACTGACTGATGCTGAGGCATGTAACAGAAAGAAAAAAAATGCAGTACCCTTGGCTGCCTTTCATTGTTTCGGTAAGTGCAAAAATATAACCAAAGTAAATTCCAAAGTGCGCTGAGAATAAGGAATTAAAATCAAAGCTTCTTTCATGAGAAAATAAAATATCTGAGAAAAAGCTGCTGGTTAGCTCAGTGGTTTAGAGATATGGAGCCAGAGGTCAAGAGTTCATTTCTCCACCATGCCCCCTTGACAGGGGCAGGATTCAATGATCCACAGATTCCCTTCTAACTCTGTAGTTCTGTGATGATGGCGATTGTATGTGTTCTGTGTCATCAAGTCATAACTGACTTATATTGACCCTGATATGGCTTTCAAGGCAAGTTAGATATTTAAGGAGTACTTTTATCAGTTCCACTCATCCAGTAAGTTTCCATGGCCAAATGGGGATGCAGACCCCATTCTCCAGAGTCCTAGTCCATCACTCCATCCACTACACCACACTGAGATGATTACAGGACTGATTATGTTTTTTTCCCCTGGAGATGGGCACAACTCTGTCTTCACTTGTAGCCTTTTCAGGGTTTACAGGGAAATAACTGTTTTATAAACATCTACAACACAGTCCTCCCCTGATCCAAATAACATTGTGAGATTTTCTTTTGCTTGTTCAACTAGAATTAAAAAGATCACTTTTCAGTAGTCTTTTTGGTGGCTGCCTTCTTACCACTGCCACTACAACGGCTTGGAACAGTGGTAGGTAGAAAGGAAAATGTTAGCCAGGCAAGTCAGCAGAATTGCTCCTGTTGCCGCTTACAGTGCAAAACCCCAAAAGCTCTGTGGAGAAAAATGAACAAAGTTGTGTCCTAACCCTTGCTCATGGTGAACCTTACGTCTGAGAAATTGCTGCAAGATTTTTCCTTTACATTCTTGCACCAAAATGGTACTCCTAATTTCTCTTCCCACCAACAGGGCAAAGAATTTCAAGAGGCCATTTGCAGAGAGCTGTAGTAAGTGTTAGCATGAAGCAGTTGGATATTAACTCAGTGCTCACTCATAATTATGAGATGTATAGCCAGGACCTTAGATCTGTAATCAAGTAAATCAGTTTATTGATAAAATAGCATGTGTCTAGTTGTGAACGTTTGCCCACTGACTCTTTCTTTTGCAGTGGTTTGGAATGCCCCTTTCCCCCTTATGTTGAACACCAGTATTTGTCCCATGTATCCACATCTATGATAAAGGAAGAAACAACTTTTAGTGGCCTGCACACTGGGTGTTGACATGAAAGTGGTGAAGAGGCGTATTCTGTGGGTGTTGTTTCTCTTGCAGCCCACTTTGGAACTCAAAAATAATGTTGGGTTGGCAATATAAAGCCCTGGAGCAGAATATGGTTCTCATGGGATCCCAAAGCAAAAATCATTAAGGATATAACAGATAGCTATGTTCCTTTCCCTGTGACAAGATAATGTGTTGTTTTCTTGATATTGTACAGGTGTTTCTAATCTAAAATTTTGAACTGCCTCTTGTAAGACTTACTGACTGGAAGAAAGAACTTAAAACTAAAATATGCTGATATTTTGCCCCATCCATTGGGTCCACTGATTACTGAAGTGCCGCCCCTGAGACAGTAACTGAAACTGATGTCAGCCCTCATGCTTAATGGGTTTCTTTACCACTGATATGATGTAGGCACTGATGATGGTGGAGGAAATGCCCATCTACCAACTGTATGATACCATTCACAAGTTTGACGGTCTTTCCCTGTCCTATTGGAAAACTCTTGTGGAGTTAGGAAGTGTACATCTGTCAGAGTACAAAAGTGCTGGCATAAAGACTATTGTTATTTCATGATGAGCCAAGTTTTCACACTTTGTCAGTTTATATTGGACAAGGTTGAGTGTAAATTTGAACTTTATTTGAAGAACTCAGAAGAATGCTTACAAGCTGAACTCTCTGTTTTGAGGCATTTCACATTACACATTTGAAATGAATGAACAACTATACCACGTGTTATAACATCTCAGCATGCACTGCAGATGTAGAATGAATTTTCTTCTCTAACCCTGTGCCTTTGTAAGGCAGTTGCTTGCAGCTTGGTCTCTAGTGCTCTGTCCAAAACTATTTTAAAATGTTTTGCATTGCCAATTCTCTTCCTTTGTATGGTGTATGAAGCATAAACAATCTGAGAAATGAATTCTGAGTTCAGGGAGGTTGTTAAGAACTCATTTGGGTCTCAGGTAAGATCAGCAAGGTTACTTTTCCTTTCAACTTAACTCACATTTGAAGTGTATTTGCAGTAATCCCGTTATTGGAAAATATGCTACAGCATTAATTCAAAATCAGACTTCAGGGGCCATAACCAGGCATCATTCTGCATATAAAACTCACATCAGCCTCACTCAAGTTTCTGCATATGGAACAATGGTAGTCTTTCACCCTTAACATTTAATTTTATTTTATACAAGATAAGGGCAACCTCAGTCTTTAGATGCGTATTTGCAGCTCCCGCTGCGATTAAGACATGAATACGCATCCGAAAAGGAATTTTGTTCTTAAGTGTCTACATATGCTTTTCACCTTACAAATCATAAATTTATTCTGATTCCCTCACCCCTAACTTTCTCTTTTTCTCCCCCTGCCCCCATTCTCTTCTTCTATTTTCTTCTAGCTTTCAAGTAGCATTCTGGATATATACAACAGTGACCAAGGAATGCCAACAGCTAATATGGGTCTCACCAATACATCCTGCTCATCTAATTTGCCTGTTAAAAGAGAAATCACAGGTAATATAACTCTGAAATGTTGCACTGTGCAACTTCCACTGCTTTGGAAGTAAAAGTACCTTCTTTTAAAGAACTTTACAGCTGAATATTTTTGATATACGTGAGCTGAAGACTGACAGGCAGACGTGTGCTTCATGTAATTTGGACACATACCCTCTCCCATGAAACCAGTGACCAGAAATGTAAATATAACTCTAAATGTATGCTGAACCAAAACTTCTCCTTCCTTCTTAATTTGTCCTGAACTGAGGTGGGGTTTGAATGGGGAAGAGTGAGAAATCTTACACTTCTTGTTTGTTGTTGCTGTTGTTGTTGTCCCAGAGACCTTTGGGGAGTGTGGGCGGCATATAAGTTAAATAAATAAATATGTCATTAATGGCAGCTGTCCTCCAGTGGGAGCTGCTGTTCTACCTCAGAAGTCCCTTCAGCATAACTATAACATTACATATTGGGGAATTCTGAGGTAAAACCCAGCTCGCAGTGCTTGGAAGAAGCTCTGGTGCCAGTCAGAAATTCCCTCCTCCCATCCTCTCTATATTGCTAGAAGTACATATGTGTATTTCAGGTCAAATTAGTTGTAAAGATAAAATGTATTCCTTCCATTAGCCTACTTTTCCTCTCAGATATGTGTTTCAGCTCATATTTGCTTTCCAGTGACCAATAACAAATTAAAGAATGCTAAATACAAGATGAGGAAGTGGAGAGGTTATGCCATACAGAAACTTTTTGTGTGTTTGTTTTTTGTTACAGTACTTGGAGAAGCACATCTGTAATGTTCTGTCTCGTTTGCTTGCTTTTGGCTCAACAGCAGGTTAAACTGCTTCCACTGTGTTTTAGAAGTGTCTGGTTGACTTCAGGGGGTTCAGGAACCAGTTTCAGTCTTCCAGATCCCACCATAGCCTCTGCTTCCACTATTCCATTAATTATTTGAAATACATTTTGATTCTGAGATTAAATGCTGGTAGAGAGAAGTACAAAATGTTATTTTGCTGTTGAGATCTGACCTGAGCTTTAAAGTTCCTCATGGACTTTGCAAAGTTTTGTTTGATACCTTTGTCCCTGCATAATTGTGAGTAATGTAGCGGGTGTTGTGGTAGCAGTGTGTAGCTGGACAATGTACAACAAGCAATCCTTCTGGACATCATGCTGCTGATAAACCTAATTACTTTAGGAAATATCACTGATTTGCACACATTTTTGGCATTGGGCTAATGGTATAAATAAATTATCATTCATTACATTTGTTCCAGGTTGCCACAAATGACTCTCTTGAAGGTTCACAATAAATCTGTTCACAGAAAATCTGTATTAGTGGATTAAGAACTTTAAAAGTTACATTCAATTAATCTAAGGAATGCTAACAACCATGTATCAGTGCATTGCCAAGGGAACAAAGAAGGAGTTTTCTCTCTTCTCCCACCCACCCCATTTGAGTATTTTAGAAATTTGATTTATCTCTTGCATGAAGGGAAGGGGAATTCAAATTCACTTTGGGTTGGAGTAAAGCTTCCTCTCTCCAGCGTAAAGTACAGCAAATTAGAAAATTGCTAAATACAGTCTTCTTTTTCAGTTTCTAAAAATTAAAAATGTGTGATAGCAATTTTTTAAACAGCAACAACAACACAGTAACACACACACACACAGAGAGAGAGAGAGAGGCTGCAAAAGCTGTAAACTGCAAATAAGAAAATGCAGGAAGTGACAAGATTGTATTTTGCAAATCTGAGAGTGCATAAAATGACCTGAAGGTGTAGTTGAATAATAAAGAGGGCCTGTTGTAACACCGAACAATTTCTGGAGTTGTGACTCATTGGCTGTTTAAGTAACTTTTGATTTCTGTCAGAAACAGATACACGAGCAATGGCCAAGGAGAGGCAAAAAAAGGATAACCATAATCTCAGTGAGTATATCTCTTTCCTAAAACTGTTCTTTTATAAGCTCTATATAGAATTATGTTTATGTTGGAGACTGCTTGTTGGGTTCTTAATTTGAGGAGGTAGCACACCATCTGCAGCTTTCCCCTGCCACACCAAGCACATTTCTTCATCTGTTACAGAATCAATTGGATCCAAACTTAGCCATGTTTAGAGAAGGTCCCCTGAAATAAACAAGACATTGATCAGTCGTGATTTCTGTGGGTCTGCTTTAAACATGGGTACCTAGTGTGGTGTACTGGATGGAGTGACAGGCTATCCAGAAGACCTGGGTTCAAAACCTTACTTGGCCATGGAAGGTCATTGGGGGTGAAGGGGGTGGTGGAATAGTTAAGGGCACTCCTTAAATATCTCACTTGCCTTGACAGCTCCATTAGAGTGGCTGTAAGTAAGTTCCAATGTGATGAGACATAACAAACGTAACACTCTAAGCATGACTTTGCATTGAAATAGGATGCTTAACCAGCGGAAATGTCACATCTAAATAGTAGGGCACATGCTTTGCATCCATGAAATCACAGTTTTGCTGCCATAAGCATTTCCTGTTTAAAATATGATAAGCAGTAGAGCTCAAGGAGGAACTCTTAAACAGAGACTGGGAAAGTTCAAATTTTTGAATTTAGAATTGACCCAGGCAGCATGGTCTCAGCTGTCCAGGCATGGTTCTTGAGACCATTGAAGGTTCCTGCCAGTCATAGCAAGTCATACGGAGTCATGTCATCAGACAATATTTGACATCAATATATGGCAGCTCCTTAGGTATCTTAATCTACTCCTTGTACATCCTGTTCTGTAAATCAGGATAAGGCTAAATGATCATATTTCATGTAAGCTTTTGGTGCTTTGATACAAATATGGGGCACCTTCTGAAAAAGTCTGGGGGCGCCTTGTAAAAAACAATCTGTACCATGACAAAAAATAACAGTGAATGTTCAGTGTGTTTGTGGATCTTCTGAATTCTTTTATCTAAACTATTCCCAGTCACAGTTAAATGTAACAGAACTCTAAGAGTGTTTAATGATTTTTCCAGCCTATGGGGAATAGCTTGAGTTGATCAGTAGGTGATGTCCTTTGTGCTGTGTTATCTGTCTTACAGGGTTTGGGTGCTAAGGAGAATCTGAGCTGAGTTAATCTCCTGTCTCCTTTAAAGACTGGGCTATGAGGAGAAGTTACTTCCACTGTTTTTAATGTGGTTAGGGCCCCATTTACACACGAAGTCTTCTTACAGTTGAACTGTAGTGGCACAGCTTCCTCATAGTGAGCAGTTTCCCATTTGGTTTTAGGCAGCCTGAAATAAAGGTAAAGGTAAAGGTTCCCCTTGACAATTTTTGTCCAGTCGTGTTCGACTCTAGGGGGCGGTGCTCATCCCCGTTTCCAAGCCATAGAGCCAGCGTTTTGTCCGAAGACAATCTTCCGTGGTCACATGGCCAGTGCGACTTAGACACAGAACGCTGTTACCTTCCCACCAAGGTGGTCCCTATTTATCTACTTGCATTTGCATGCTTTCGAACCGCTAGGTTGGCGGGAGCTGGGACACGCGACGGGCACTCACTCGGTCGCGTGGATTCGATCTTACGACTGCTTGGTCTTCTGCCCCTGCAGCACAGGCTTCTGCGGTTTAGCCCGCAGCGCCACCACGTCCCTAGGTAGCCTGAAACAAAGAGAAACACAAAATGATTCCATGCAACATTGGCAAGCAGATGTTAACTGCAGACAGTTTACAGCAGAAAGACTGATATGTCTTGTTTCCTATATTTTAAAAAGTATAAAGAGATGCACTGTGAAACAGTTTGGATTTAGTTGATTTCTGCCTGGTTTTTAAAACAGGCCTGGTAAGATTGTTCATTCAAGAGACATGCATAAGAAACATAATCAACATTTAATCTCTTTTTAGTCTGTATGACAGGAAATGCATGACAGCTTGAGTGCTTCCTTGTTGCCTTCCAGTGCTTCTTTATTTTATTTAATAGCCCTAACTACTTTGTTAGATGTCAAAAAATTTAGTCCAATTTTACTTGGGGGGGGGCAGAAATCTACACAACCACTTAATTTGACCTGCACTCTTCAATACTAATAAATTCGTTGTTGTCGTGAATTAAGTATTTTCAGGTGCTAAGAACATTGTGGTGTTTCAGAACAGTATTTTCATAACAAAACTATTTCACTGCCTACCAATAAATTATATATGTTTGTTACGTTCTGCTATTATTATTATTATTATTATTACAGTCTCTTGTTTTCTTAGTTGAAAGAAGAAGAAGGTACAACATTAATTACCGGATCAAGGAGCTTGGCACACTTATCCCAAAGTCTAATGATCCGTAAGTTCACCTGTCACTTCTGTCAATGTTTCTACAGCTTAAATATGCACAAAGGGGCAAAGAATAAAACAGATTTGCTGGATGTCAGAGTTAACTTGAACCTGTATCATTTTTCTCTTGTTTGATTAGCTTTCCTGGCTGTGGATTTGTGTTTGTTGATATTTGGCAAATTCAGATATTCACTCCACCCGTAACCTACTCAGAAACTACTGGCCCATATGGTACAACATTCTAAACATTGTAGCTTGGAGAATTTGTCAAATTAATTTCATTTTGGGCAGTGTTTCGTTACCCAGAATGTGCATGTCATATCCCTGGAATGGCCCACATTGTACTGGGCTTGTGAAAACAGCATAACTAATGAATTACCAGTTTCATTTTTGTATAAGATGGTTTGCACACTGGAATTAATGAGCTAAGAACAACTACAGTAGTAGTCATAGAAAAACTGAAGCTGCACATTTAATCATCATTAATAGTTTTATCTGGGATTTCCACTTGAGTTTGTGTAGGTGGAACCTACCGGTACTTCTCTCGTATGCATTAATGAAGAGAAGCAAAGTGGGACAGTTAATTATAAGCAGGCAGAGAGTGAACTATTTTCTTTGAAATAGGTGCTTACAATCTGTGAGTGTTGGTGATGACAGTTTTCCCAAGATGGGGGCTAAATACTGTATAAACTGTGGACAGGCACTTCCTGTTTTGGAAGTAGGCCTTTTCCCTCCCAAAAGAAACAGAAGTTCAGAAGAGGCCTCCAGCCTTCTGTGGTCCCAAGGCAAGCAAAAATGGGCCGCAGGCCCTTTGCAATTGCCCATCAAGTAGATCTGTGCAGATATATTTGTAGCACATGGCTTCATGATGTACAGTCAATCTTCCTTTGTGCCAAGGTATGCAAACTGATCATTCCACATATTTTTCACTATAACTTCCATTATCCCTTACCACTGGCTATTCTGTTTGGTCATTATGGGAGCTATGCCACAGATATTTGAAAGTTAACAACCAACCTGCATTGACTATGTATGGTTGGGTTGTTAACATCAGCCACTGAGATAACATGTAATAATGCAAGGTGGAAATTGTTTCCAGTTTTGATAAAATATTTTGACTGACTTGCCTCTGTGGGTCCAGATTAAGTTTTCCATGAACCGGTGGAACTACTACATAAATGTCCATCAATGCCATTTCAAGTCTGCTAGAAATATGACATATTTACACCTAAGGTGCTGCCCTAGATTTTTGCAAATATAGATAGTATTTATGGCTTTAAAGTACCCGCACGTCAGGACAAATTGTGATAGTACAGTGTTTGATTTAAAGATGGTTCTATCAGAAACAATGTCTGCTTTCACACTTAAAGGAACCACTTGTAAGATGTTGATGTGATGTGGGGGTGGGGGATGGCGCAATCTCCAGAAGTATGAGGGCTGCACATACCCACTCCTGGACTTTTGAAAGCTACATCTAAGCCCTGCTGATCCTTTAAATATTTCTCCTTTGAAGAGGCTTTAAAAAAACATCTAAAAAAGCACATTTGTAATGTATAAAAAGTTTTGGTCGTGTGGTGGTGGAGATGACCCCAAACATGACAAAATTGCTTCCCATATTCCTTAGAGGGCGTACGCTCACTTACGTGAGCAAACCATTTCGGGGGCAGGGGAAAATGGCATGGAGAGAACTGCATTTAGACCCCTTGGAGGGTTGGAACGGGCCTATGGGTAGCACTTTGCTCATGGCTAATGTAAGGAAACGCCACATCCAAATTCACAAGCATTGATTCCCTTCAGAAGGCTTTTAAGACCTTCTGTTTTACTGACTTAAGTCAGTAACATCCTGTAGGGAGCCATCTGTAGCAATAAGTAATGATCTGAAGATAATGTTAATGTGGCCAGATACATCCTTCATTTTGGTACTGATGCCTGATATAATTAGACATCCCAGGTTGCCAGGCACAGAGCTTTATAGAAGCAGATAAAAATTTTATCATCACCAAATTATTTGTGTTTGTTTGTTCAGCTCTCTTTCTGATACTTTAATATAATCAGACTTCCACCTGATAATAAGAGCCCCTTCTCTCCTAGTAGCCTGTTTGATGACATTGGCCTAAATCCCACCTTGTTCTGGTGCTTGGGCTGATCCAGTGGGCCTTTTTTCTCCAGCTCTTTTTCCTACAGTGCTTCATGCCACTTGAAAACCAGCCAGCTCTGGAGGATCTTCCAGCTCTTTGCAGCTGGTTTGGGTGGCATGCAGGGACTACACTGAAAGGGGAGATTGTTTCCTGCCTTATTCCTTTTACGGCAGCCCATCCTTAGTTTTTGGCCAGTGTGAAGGTCGTCTGCACTCAGGAGGAAGAGATTCTATTATCTTTGTTCGGTCCCATACACTTTATGCTGAAATTTCAACCAGAAGAACCCTCTAAACTGTTCTATTACTTACATCAAAGGGTGACAGAAGTAATAGAGTTGGGTGAGAAAACTGTTCACTTCACATTTCTGTATGAACTTACTCAATCTCAGTTTCCCAAAGAATACAAACCAGAATGCAGTTAGATGTCGAAATATGTTCGTTGAATTGAGAAACCTTACGGGGAGAGTGTGTAATGTTTCATCTGCTGGCCATATTTCTGCCCTTAAGGCTTCAATTTTATACCCATTTATTTGGGAGTAAGTCCTACTGAGCCCAAGGGGGATTTCCTGAGTACCTAGGAGTAGGATTTTACAGCAAGTCACCTTTGAAATGTTACTAGTTTTACTGTTTTGCTGAGGTAAAATAGATGCAAGCCATTTGTCATGTTTCTATCATCTCTGAAAGAAGATGTTGTTTGAAGTATTGTTTCCTCGCTTCTCCTCCCTTTCTTCCTTATAGCTGTGGGATCCTTTTAAATTTATCATAGCCAAATAATTCAAGTTTAGTGCATTTAAAGCAAACTGTCCTTAAGGGTTACTACCACTGTACTGAGGTGTTCAGAATGTGAGAGGGGAGCACAGGCCACGAGAAGAGTGTGGTGCCTTAGCTCTCCTTACCCACTGTCACTTTAGTCACACAAAACTGTCTGTGTAATGCTTCTGGGGGTCTTGGATCTCTGGGGAAAGTGTGCTGGGGGAATACAAAGCTTAATTTTTATGTGTGAGGCCATTTTGAAACTAGGCACCTATTGCCCACCTGGTCACCATGACACATTTTGCTGCCTGCATGGCATGAACAAAATTGTTCCCCTCTTTCCCCTTGTCCTATTACCTGTTTACCTGGCTTTTACCCAAATCCTGACCCCATTTGCTTAGACTCCCCTCAAATTCATTTCAACAATCCACTGCCCCATTACTAAGACATCACAGGGGCCCTGGGCTCAGGGCTTTGCCCTGAAATACCAGAGAAAAGGAGGATGCTGCCCTGGCAAACTTAAACTCCAGCAGATTGTATATAGGGCATACAGGGCATATGATAATAAGGGAGCTATTTAAAATCACAAAGTGAGGTGGTAAAAGAATGGAACTAATTTGTGCCTTTAAAATCAACAAAAATAAAAACATTTTTGGAAATGGAACAGTTTCCTCCCTCTCTGCTGTGCAGATGTTTTGAGATACTGTTGCTACAAGTAAGACTGAGCGACCAATACATTTCTGCCTCCTGCAAGGGGATTGGCAAAACATTGATGCAAATTCTAGTGTGGTTTAAGAGCTTAAAGCAGCATTAACTCTAAATGTACAGTTTATTATTTGCTGAACCTAAATGGTCATGACTGCCATATTGTTACATACACAAACATTATGCCCTTTGTTTACTCCTCTGTACAATTCTGCCTTATATATTGGATGTTTTATCAGTTTGTGCAATATAAAGCTGTGCGAGACTAAAATAAGTACAAGCTTGGTGTAATAAGCTATTTTGAACAAACCAGTGACAAATTTCAATCATAGGCCCTTCTTGAGAAGTCTTTCCTCTCCCCTCCTCCACAAGTAACTGTTATTGTAATGTAAGCCATATATGAGTAACCCTATATACTGTTTGTTCTATTGCCTCAAACTTTTTTACTTGTTCTTATGCTACAAAAATCTGAGGAAAAATTTGTTCTGATTATTTATGAAGCCAGGATAGCAGTGAAATTTTGTGTAAGATATACACGAAGATTCTTGTTATTGTAGTAAAGTACTAGCCAATGCCTAGAGGTGATTCCGGTTGGAACACTTGGATTTGGTGGTGGTGATAGTAAGGGGGCTCTACTTAAAAGATGACATCCAGCCAGAATATCATTATGCTTCTGAACTGTTGTAAGTATCCAGTAGGATTATTCCACAGGTGGCTAGCTGCTTCTATCAGTGGAAGCAAGAGGCCGATAATACCCCTTTCTCCTGCTGCTCCCCAAGTGCCCCCAAACCCACTTTTTGAGAACAGGTTTTGGGGGCTGCAGAAAAGGAAGAGTCAAAAATCCCAATTCTACCATGAAATATTGTGTGAGATTTAGATCCCAGTCAACAGGAAATTGATAGCAGTCAAATATAAGACCAGAAGAGGCCCTAAATGGACCGATTATGTCTCACATTCAGTGTTGTACTGATAAATTTGGAAGCGGAGGGGCTCAGCATGACTAGCCCTGTAGCCACCCTGGTTTTGGAGTCTAAAACAGCAGGCAGTTGGATTGCTTCATATTAAAAGGTGGGGAGGGAAATATTAACAAATCAGGAGCAGAGTTTTTGTAAAGCTAATTGCTCTTAATAGTCCAGTTCAGACCAAACCATACTCAAATAGAATAGTCTGCTAAAATATACTATTCATGGGAAAATTCATTTCTGTCCCAGCCATTGTAAGGACTGAGGTAAATTCAGAGAACTGCAAAACCTGTTTGCTGAAGGGATGTATGGTGGGTCATGTCACCATGCTGCTACTCAGATAGTCATGGAAAAAATGTGTCCACTACACCAAGAGATTTGAATATCCAAACCTCTTTATTAAATTAACTTGGAAATTCAGATGTCTTCACAAATGCCAATACTGCTTTCCAG